ATAATCAATAAATAATAATAATAATAATAATAATAATAATCAATAATTAATAATAATAATAATAATAATAATAATAATAATAATAATAATAATATTGATACAATTCATTGTTCAAATGGGTTAGATACATGTAAGTGTTTTGTGTTCTTTTGTCATAATACTATTTTATTTTTAAATTAAATAGTATATGTGTTTAAAATGTTTAGAGGTTTCAAGTTTTTAATATATTTTCCATAAATTTTATACTTATATAGTATATTTTTCGTAAATATTTTAATATGTACATTTGTATATACGCATATGTATAGTAATAAATAATCAATAAATAATCAAAGATCACTAATCCGTAATTAAAAATCACTAATTAATAAGTTCAGTTCAGTTCAGTTCAACTCAGCTCAGCTCAGTTTAGTTCAGTTCAGCTGAGTTCAGTCAATCGGAACAGGCCCTAAGACTTACTTCTTATTTTTGTAAAAATGGTTGCTGCCATCCGAGGCGATTACATGAGAGGTAGAAAGGCCTTTGTTTGATAAAGAGCTTTTTGTGACCTTTTAGCTTATTAAGAATTAACAAAGTTTGACCATTCTTAAAAAGCTAAAAGAGTTTTTGGGCTTAATTAAATACTCTTTAAGGCCAAAAAAAAATAAAAATAAATAAATAAATAAATAAAAACATAGTAGGACCTTTTCAAATTAGCTTATTGGGCATTTTTGTTAATATATATTAACAAGTAAGTAATAGTTATTTACCATTATTGTCATTTACATTACTAACTATTTATACTGGCTAATGCAAGCATTAAACTAGTTAATACAATCAACTACATCAATCAATTACTAGCTAATTACCAAATAGGTTGGACCTACAGTCCTATACTACTCCCTCATTATGCAATGGACCATACATGTGGGTAAATTTACATTGAAGTGGATGTGTGTGTGTGTGTCTATATATATATATATATATATATATATATATATATATATATATATATATATATATATATATATATATATATATGGTCCTATTCCTACTTACTTTCTTCTTGGTTTACTCGGACTAGTGAAGAAGAAGAAAAGAGCTTATTTTCTTCCAAGCCATCTCTACGCAGTCTGCAACTTTGATATCTCCCTACCGCTACCGATCAAGCTCAACCTACCTATGGTATGCCAACCTCTAGATTGGACGAGTGCCTGCCCGAGCTAAAGTAAAGCTCTCTAGGTTAGCTATAGGTCAAGTTCTCTCAGAGCCGAAGACAGGGGCTGACTAAGGCCTGTCAAAGAAGTCTCGATTATCAGACCTAATCCGCCTTTCCGTGCAAAATCTCCTTGCGTCAGGCCTATCTCTCATCTTTCAGGCTGGTTGAATGGATCATAGAAGGCCCAAGATGTGCTTCCATTCCTTACTTAGAACAAGTAAGCAAATTCCAATTACCTTACTCTAAAGAGTCAGTGAATTGGAATTACCTTGATTAGGCGCAAAAAGGTTCGAAGAGCTTAGTATATACTATGCGGCGGGAAGAATCGAGGCAACGTTAGTTGTTCATCGGCCAAGTCCGAAAGAAATAGAAAGAAATGGCTTAGCCAATGATGGATTGACCAAAGATTTAAACCCTGGTCAGGCATCCTCGCCGGTCTAATGAGAAAGATTCCGTCTTTGATCCCCGGGAAAACATTTCTATTGAGGCAACTGCACTTGGTCAGTAGAACATAGTCTCGGCTGGACCTACATACCCAATGTTATGATTGAGCAGGTCTCGCAGCTACGGGAGAAGGGGACCTCTTTCGGAGCAAGCTAAAGAGCCCTTCCTTTAGATCGTCGCTTTCCGGTAAGGCAATCAATGAAACCTATCCATCCCCTTTGAGGGAATTTTGCTCCAAACCAAAGAAGGAGTTCAGGCACTTCCGTCAGATACGAGATTGAAAGATATGGCTTTGTCCCGGCCGTTAGAGCGTTAAGCCACTCATTCTCTTAGGTCGTCTCAAAGCGCTTAGTCGAAAGACTTTGGGTCTCCGAGCTTAGCCGCCAGGCGAAGGGTAGATGGAAGAAGGTCTCCGAAAGGCCTATTCCGGTTTCGAGAAGAACGGGCACTCAAACCTATCTTTCATCAGCTGCTCTTGGCCTTTCTTGAATTAGGTGGTCTTGCTTTGAAATAGAAAGGCTGCCTTAGGTTGAGTTTAGGAGTTCTCTCTCCCGGGGGGCAGAAGCAGCAGAAGATGTTTTTGCTCCTACAGAATACCTTGCCTCAGATCCCACATGGGATAGGGTCAAAGGAGCGTGGCGAAGGTGAGATTGGTTACTATTTAACGATGGAAAGAATAGCCTCATTCGTGGACTCGTGCTGCTAATAAAAACCTTTCATTCACTTCGAAACCAAGACCTATAGTAAGTACTTATTCCCGATAGAGCCTTATATGTAGATAGTCAAGCTCGTCTTCTTATCTGGATTCATTGAGTCCTGCCATTCAATTCTAGGCTCAAAGAGGAGGTTTATCCTGGCTGGGCTCATATCAGCTCATTCAGTCGGAACTCACTCTCCTTCCTTTTAATACAGCAACGCCTATGTATAGATCATCAAAACATCAAACAAAGACCTTCTTTTAATTAAGAAAGAAATGCGTGATACTGATATTGAGAAATGAGGAAGCATGAAGGTTAACCAAGTGCCTTAGGTATGTAATCGCTTAATAACATTAACGAGCGGCACTTCCTTTTCTTAATCTTATTCACATCCAGAAGCACTTTACGCTCCGGGACCGATTAGAGGATGTGTCCAACGATCAAAATATAAGCAAGCCTTGCCGCATCCGATAGAAAGAAAATATATGCCAAACTTATATCCAAAAAGCTAAGGGTGTGGACAATAGAAGGTGCAAGTTTTTCCGGGGCAATAAATATTATAACTATCCAATATGAGTCTAGTTTATGAATACGAAAGCCTTTGGAATCTAATAGTCTTTCATATAGGTGGTAAGAAAGAAGATTATAGAACAACCTATTTTCTTCCTAATGCCCGTGGGTGTGGGACTAGTTATATATATATATATATATATATATATATATATATATATATATATATATATATATATATATATATATATATATATATATATATATATATATATATATAGTAATCGTTATTGTGTCCTTACGAGTGAAGCAGTAGATCTAGATGATAAAAAAAATAATACTTCGTAATAAGTTTTCATAAAAGGAACAAAATAAAAATGGATAGATTTAATTTAAAATTATAAGAGAGATGAAAACGAAAGTACATAAAACTTAGGAAAACAAAGTTATTAACATGAACAAATCTGTATAAAAAAATAATAAAAAAAAAAATTAAAAAACTAGCTTGAAATATACTTTATTTTAGTCTAAGAAAAGGAAAGCCTTAATATATATGTCCGTATCAACATTCAAATTAAAATTAATTCATTAACATATAAAAGAGTGAAATAACATCTACAATATAAATCAAAACTAGCAAATACGATATAAATTAGATCAAAAAGATATTAATATAGAAGAATGTTCCTTAAATAAGTTAATGACAAAATAACAGAGAGAGAGAGAGATAACTCAAGTAGTTAGACCTTCCCTCCCGATTCCAAGATTTCCAGGTGATCTTGAGATCGATTCTAATCGTCCACCCTTATGCCTCTCTAAACAGTACACCAAAAAAAAAAAATCACAAAAGTGTTCTTATACAAGTAAGGCATTATTAATCTATTACACAAATAATGTTTCTACAAGTCAATACTTCATTCCATATGAACCCCTAAAAAAAATGGTTAAGCAAGACAATTCATCAAATACAAATTCCAAACGTTAGCACTACTACAAAAAACCCCTATCGAGTCACCTGTAAATGACCTAACGAGTCGTTTTAAAGGCGACTCCACAGCCACCGACACAATAGCTTCCAACTTTAGGAGTCGCCTCTGAGGCGACTTGATAGCTTTTATATAAGTCGCTTATTAGTTGTTAGGCGACTCTATTTGTTAAGCTATTGTGTCGCTTGTGTTGAAAAAGGTGACTCCATAGGTTAATCTATTGTGTCGCTTGTGTTGAAAGAGGCGACACGTAAAAAATCAACATTTTTTCCAAATTTTTATTAGCTCATATAATGTCAGTGTTTATGACACTGAGCATGCTTGATCTCTGGTTCTTTGCATGGAAGGTTGAAGTTCTTGCCATTATGCCAAAGTTACTTTTCATATATATATGATATTGTAACTATTTTATATACATTTTTATAATTAACCTATCGAGTCGCGTCTTACGTATTAGGCGACTTATTAGGTAGTGGTCATATAATAAAGCACCTAACAAGTCGGACTTTTAGAGTCTCCTATATATAAGGTGCGACTTGTAAACATATCGAGTCGCCTCATACTTATTAGGCGACTTGTTATGTTGGGTTTAAAATCAACAAAGCACCTAATGAGTCGCCTAATATACATGAGATGACTTGATAGGTTTACAAGTCGCACCATATATGCATGTGACTCTATAACCCGACTTATTAGGTGGCTTAAATTAGATTTTTAAAGTCACCTATATATAAGGTGCGACTTTTTAACCTATTGAGTCGCCTTATAAATATCAGGCGACTCATTAGGTGAGAGTCGTAGATAAGAAAACTCACCTATTGAGTCGCCTAATATTTATAAGGCGACTCGACAGGGTTTTGAGTCGTACTTTATGTACAGGTGACTATGAAAATCTAATTTAAACCACCAAATAAGTCGGATTATAGAGTCGCATGCATATATGAGGCGACTTGTTAACTTATCAAGTCACCTCATATATATTAGGCGACTTGTTAGGTGCTTTGTTGATTTTAACCCCAACTTAACCAGTCGCCTAATAAATATGAGGCGACTCGATAGGTTTATAAGTCGCACCTTATATACGAGTGACTCTAAAAGTCTGACTTATTAGGGTTTTTTTTTTGTAATAGCGTAGGTTTTTTACTTGCAAAGTTGCAAGCCCTTATATAAACACTTGTCTACATTATGTGTAATTTAAAGGTTGGTTATGGAACATAGAGCTTCCAAGTAGAACTCTCCAACTTCAATTCATCCAACAAAAAACAAAAATAACCTTATAAATAATCATATCAACAAAGCACCAAATATCACCGGTTAATTTCCTACTTCCACGTACATCCCCTTTAATCTTCAACTTTAAATTCATGCATATCCTTAAACTATAGTCTTAAGTCTTTATATATATCTCCTAATATGTAACGTTTTTACAAAACAAGTATTATAGTTATTTCATGCAAAGAAATGGCAAAAGCAATAGGTATTGATTTAGGAACAACATACTCTTGTGTAGGAGTATGGCAAAATGATAGAGTAGAGATCATACCTAATGATCAAGGCAACCGTACCACACCGTCCTACGTCGCCTTCACGGACACCGAACGCCTCATCGGGGACGCAGCGAAGAACCAAGTGGCGATGAACCCCGAGAACACGGTGTTCGACGCTAAGAGGCTGATAGGGAGGAGGTTTTCGGACCCCTCGGTGCAGTCGGATATGAAGTTATGGCCGTTTAAAGTGATACGAGGCGTGGCTGAAAAGCCGATGATAGTGGTGAGGTATAAGGGGGAAGAGAAGGAGTTTGCTCCGGAAGAGATATCGTCTATGGTGTTGGTTAAGATGAAAGAGGTTGCTGAGCAGTTTCTTGGGTTGTCTATTAAGGATGCTGTTGTTACTGTTCCTGCTTACTTCAATGACTCTCAACGCCAGGTTATCACTTGTAACTTATTATTATTATTATTATTATTATTATTATTATTATTATGTACTACTCTTTAATTTTTGTTACTCTTGTTGTTGTGGTAATCTTTATTGTTGAACTGATACGGTATTACAAGTTATGGGTATGTCTTTCGGGAACAGAGGAAGACTTACAAATTAATATCTTTATAAGGGAAAATTATAATTAAATCATCTAACAAATTATGAATAAGCTCGATTATATTGGGGGTGCGATGCATTGGGGTGTATAATGTATATAATCAATTCAATGTCAAAATAAATAAATAAATAAATTCTATGCATATCATGTGTACATGATTTTTACGGGTTTTGTTAACAAAGAAGGAAGTGAAAATAGTTTAGTATTTTTAAAGGAAATAGTAAGATAAAATGGCCTAGGGTTAGAATAGATTTGTTAATTGTTATGTTAGAGTAAAAGATTGAAAGTGAATACTTAAAGATGAAAGAAGTATATACAACAATAATTAATATGTATATTTTAAAATTTTTTTCATATATAATATCATTTTCTTGTAAGAATGGAAAAGAGTAATTTATGCTCTACTCAGTAGTTCTTAAAATTAGCTTAGTTAAAAGTATTCATTTTATTCTACAAGATTAGAGTCTCGTTATAAAGAGAAATCCTAATGCGATACATAGAGAGTAGACAATATAGTGGCTAGAGACGTAAGTTTAACTTGAAGTACATGTAACATGATGTTATAGTACATTTATACTCATAGATGGATTGTGTCAACTTGTTTACATTACTCATAATTTATTCTTATAGATTTTTACAATTTCATGATTACAATATTACTACAGTTTTACATAGGAGTACAAAGTATAAAGTAGCATTTGAATTGATATTGTCAAGAATGTCAACTATCACTCGAATATTCGATTTAATTAGTGCTCGCTCACATAATGAGGTTGCTTTATTTATATATTTTCATTCATTTTTTTGGACACATCTAAGATATCTGGCCCATATATGAACATATGTTACATATCATTTTTTCTTAAAAAAATAAAAATAAAATGTTACATATCATTTTTTCTTAAAAAAATAAAAATAAAATGTTACACATCATTATGATGCTTGACTCATTTAAAACTCTATAATATGAATAATGGATGATTAATTATAGTCATTATTATTCAAGTCCCTGTATATAATGCTTGAAAATGATTTTTATAACCAAAGTAGTTGATAGAGTATATAATATATTCCAGGCCTCAATAATCAGCTTGAGCTTTTGGTTGAATTAGTCCGATCCACTAATAGTAACGTTAATTAATATATTATGCAGGCAACTAAAGATGCAGGAGCTATATCAGGCTTAAACGTGATGCGTATAATCAACGAGCCAACAGCAGCAGCCATAGCATACGGCTTAGACAAGAAGGCAGCTCAAACTGGCGAGAAAAACATCCTAATCTTCGACCTCGGTGGTGGAACCTTCGACGTCTCGATTCTTACAATCGAGGAAGGTATCTTTGAGGTCAAGGCTACGGCCGGAGACACCCATCTAGGAGGAGAAGATTTCGACAATCGTCTCGTAAACCATTTTGTCACGGAGTTTCGTAGGAAGACTAAAAAGGACATAAGTGGTAATGCAAGATCTCTACGTCGTCTTCGTACTGCTTGTGAACGGGCGAAACGAGCCCTTTCCTCTACCGCACAAACTACTATTGAGATTGACTCGTTGTATGAAGGGATGGACTTTTATGCGACCATTACTCGGGCGAGGTTTGAAGAGTTGAACATGGACTTGTTTAGGAAGTGTATGGAGCCGGTTGAGAAGTGTATTCGAGATGCAAAGATGGATAAGAGTCAAATCGATGAGGTTGTTCTTGTAGGAGGGTCTACGAGAATTCCTAAGGTTCAACAATTGTTACTTGATGTCTTTAATGGGAAGGAGCTTTGTAAGAGCATTAATCCCGACGAGGCTGTGGCATATGGTGCGGCCGTGCAGGTAACATTATAATCTTTTTGTGTTCATGTAACGTTTTATTTTTTACTCCGTAAATTATAAGTATGATATGGTATGATATGATCAATGTTGATATATACTTGATATTTTTCATTTGTTGTCCTTGGGTGTAGGCGGCGATTTTATGTGGGGAGGGACATGAGAAGGTGCAAGACTTGTTGTTACTAGACGTTACACCATTGAGTTTAGGGCTCGAGACTGCTGGTGGGGTGATGACGACTTTAATCCCTAGGAACACCACCATCCCTACTAAGAAGGAGCAAATATTTTCTACTTACTCTGATAATCAACCAGGAGTTTTAGTACAAGTATTCGAAGGAGAACGAGCAAGGACAAAGGATAATAACTTGCTTGGAAAGTTTGAGCTTGGTGGGATTCCTCCGGCACCTAGAGGGGTACCTCAGATAAATGTAACGTTTGATATTGATGCTAATGGGATATTGAATGTGGCTGCTGAGGATAAGACTGCAGGGGTGAAGAACAAGATCACTATAACAAATGATAAAGGGAGGTTGAGTAAGGATGATATTGACAGGATGGTGAAGGAAGCGGAGAGGTACAAGGCGGAAGATGAGGATGTGAAGAAGAGGGTGGAGGCAAAGAACTCATTGGAGAACTACGCGTATAATATGAGGAATACGATAAGGGATGACAAGTTCAGAAGCAAATTGGGGGAGGAGGAACGTGGAAAAATCGAAAAGGCAGTAGGAGAAGTCGTGGAGTGGGTGGAGGCAAATCAGTTGGCTGAAGTAGAAGAGTTTGAGCATAAGCAAAAGGAGTTAGAGGGGGTGTGTAATCCAATCATTTCAAGGATGTATCAAGAAGCTGGTGGCGTCAATGGAGAGGCCGGTGATGAGGACATGGGCGGTGGTTCTAGTGATGCACGTGCCGGGGGTGGTGGGCCTAAGATTGAAGAGGTGGATTAAGGTGGTGTGATCATCACCTGAATCATGCTGTGGATTTCAGGATAGCTCCTCTGTTTTAGTTTCCTCTGTTTTGTGTATATGGTGTTGTAATGTTGTTGTTTTAATGTTGCTTTATTTTTTATGTATGAGTTATGACTCTGAATCCATGACTATGTGAATAGAAATAGTCAGTAATTAATGAATAAAAAGGAATTAGATTGTGAGCTACTCATACTCCTAAATTACTCAATCCAAAGCACAAAACCAAAGCGATCAGACATCATCAGAAATTCAGAATATGATATTATTAATTAAGGTGTAGTGAAAATCCACACAGATAACATATTGCATAACCAATGATTATAAATGACATAGAGCTAATGACAGTCAAAAGGCTACTGGCTTTAAAGAAAATAGTTTGCATTTAGCAATTCTATAATGACAGTTAGTAAATAACACAAATGATCCTAGTGTTAAGACACCCTCGAAAATTCTGCAGCTTGCTCCTTATTCCTGGTAAGCACAACCAACTAAGTTATAAGATAAACTGAAGACTTTGAGCATACCTGACTCTCAAGGAGTCACTGCACAATATTACGCTGCCTCCCATCAGGAATTGCAAAAAGAGCAATTGGCTTTGATTGTTTCACAAATGGAACATCGCATCTGAAAGTAACCTTTTCTCTCTAACTGTATGATCTCTCCAGATTTCAGATTTCGCATGTTTGAGTCCCCAAGTGTGAAGGTGTCTTTTCTGGTGACGGGGTTAAGTGCTTTCAGAAATTCCTTCTCCTCCTGGATCTTTTCCTCCTGTGTCTTCTCTCCTTTCTTTTTCTTGAATTTGACCTGAGATAAATAAAAATCAATTAACAAACGAATGGCCAGGACAGGAATCAATAAAAATTGTTATATAATATGGTTGTCTAGGTAGTACCAGCTTCTCCTTAGTAATCAGAGAATCAAAATCCACAAGCTGAAGCTTGACTAGTTCATCTGTCTCAGGAAGCCAGGTCAGTTTCAACTTAGTTGCTTTAACAGATCCTTCGAGATGCAACACACCTAGCAACTGCACCACAGTACCCATCTCATCCCTCTTGATTTCTTTGATGATACAATTCCCCCAATCCATTAAAGTCACCTCATCATTCGCAGAAATGCTCAAAGCATCAGCATAATCGATCCATATATTTTTGGTATAGAGAGTACACTTCTCTCCTGCTTCTTTAAATTTTTTATGGCGAGGCATGACGCGCACAAAGGGCTCTGCAGGGCCATTCGCAAGGGTTATCAGAACTCGGTGTTCCTCGAGCACAGCAGTATGTCTTGGACAAACAGGATCAATGATCTTTTTATTAATGGTCCACAGTTTATCCCATTGCATCAGATTTTGGTTAGTGGAAGCCCCCTGCAGAACAGCATTATAGGATAAGTTTAAAGTTCTCACATACATAATATATACTTTGTAATTTGTATGTCAGCAAAAAGGCACTTTCAATTTAAATTTTCTCACTACGGAGTACATAACATAAAACAGAATCAATGAAGCACAGGTGGTACTGTTAGAGCAAAACAAAATGTAACTACGAATTATACCTGTTCACGTATGAATTGGGTCAGTGCCTCTATCTTAAGACCTCTACGCACCATCCCTTGAATAGTTGGCAAACGAGGATCATCCCATCCGTCAACTCTTCCATTTTGCACAAACCACAGAAGCTTACGCTTGCTTAAAAGTGTATAGACCATACTCAACCTGCTAAATTCATAAAAACAAACTTTCTAACTCCCATATCCTCCTGGATCATGTGACACTGATCATCACGATCACGATACTCATTTGACCGAAGGACATGTGTTATTCCCTCCAAAGCATCTACAAATGAACTAGCAAAGTCATAGGTTGGGTACAACTTATATTTGAAACCAACCCGATGATGGTGAGCTAAATTACATCTGTAGTAAACAGGATCTCTCAGACACTTGTTCGGGTTCTGGAAGTCTAATTTGCCCCTAAGACAACACATCAAGCCTCTGTCAGACCCCAAAATCATCTCCTTCCACAACTCCAAATTCATACTTACACTATTGTTCCTGCACTTGGATTCAACCCCTTTATCCCTTTCGATCCTCATTTGATCTACTGGTGTATCATCGACATATGCTTTACCCTCATGAATCAATTTCTCAGCCATATCCATCAACTGAGGGAAGTAATCAGATGTATAAGTTACAGCATCATAAACAATGCCGAGACTAGCAATGTCTTTAAGAAGACTATCCACAAATTCGGTGCTTTCTTTAGATGGATTAGTGTCATCCAAGCGCACAATCAGACGCCCATTATACTTATCAACAAAATATTTGTTGAGCAAGGCCGAATGCCCTATGTGGAGATATCCATTAGGCTCAGGGGCAAACCTCAGACAAACCTTTCCTACTTAGCATTCGGAAGTTCAATTTCAGGCAAATTAGAACTATGTGTTTTCTTCTTCTCAACACTGCCACCAAACATTGTCAGCACGTGTAATTCACGCGCTCAAGATTCTTGTAATTCAAAAACACCCTCAACCTTTCACTCCTCTTACTCCAAAACCTGTAGGCAGCAAATACAATTTATGTCAAACAATTTATGTACAAAGTATATAAACCCACATTTATCTCACATCTCAAAGCCTTTAAAGTAATTTACTTGATAGGCTTAAGTCACAATATCACAACAATCTATAATATTCAACTTATACAATTCAATAAAATTGTAAATAATCAAATTGTACAATTTTACAAAATCACAAATTGTAAACCCACAGTTCAATTAATATAATCCTCAGAAAATGACCATAAATATTAAATATTGTGCAATGAATTGAGATTTAACACCCATGATTCAAAGAAATAATTAAACTAGAGACAAATTTGTAAAAAATTAAACCCTATAAGATAGAAATTGAATATTTAAAACCCAATAAAATTACTAACAGAGTAAAGATGAAATCGAGTTGCGGCCAACGTTAGAGACGGTGGATTGGTGGCGCCGGCAAGCAAAGGGCGTGGTAGAGAGAAAATAGAAGGAGGGATTACAAGATTTGGCTAATAATTTGAATCAACACAAAATTCAGAATTTATGACTGTAAAATTAACCCAAAAACGTATAATTTTACAGAAATCTGATCAATAACCAAGAAAACCACCATTGATGATTCTGAAAAACACGCTAAACCCTTGTACAAATCAAGAGAATAATTCTACCCAAAAATTCCCCACAAAACTAATTAAAACAACACAATTAACTATAATAAAACACCAAAAATTGAAGGATAATGAAGTGTCACCTCTACAAAATTGATCACGATTGGTAAAGAGAAGAGGAATCCTCGATCTTTCTCACCGAAGAATTGCAGATGTCTTCAGAATTTATAAGTTCAAGTTTAGGCAGAGAATAGAAAAGTGGGTTTGCGCGGGAAGAGCAAAGTGAATAACTGAATAACCCTACAAGAGCGAGGTTGAAATTATTTATAGGAAAAAATTGACATTTACTCCCAGTACCTCGTGTTACATTTGCTAACTGTTTAGTTTTTTATTTTATTTTGCTACAACCTAAAATTAAATAATTAAAATTTCACTACCACTTACCAGAATCCGTTTAGGTTTCGTTAAGTTTATTAAAAAAATAACCCGGCCACCCCCTCCCCTCAACTGCCCCCCTATCGAAATCGGCCCCCCTCCCCCTACCGTTTTCGGCCTTCCCAAACCCAAAGCGAATTTAGGGTTTCACTTATGGTGGTTTTGGGGGTGGTGGTTTAGGGTTAGGGAAGGTCAAAAACGGTAGGGGAGGGGGGCCGATTTCGGTGGGGGGGTATGAGCTGGGGGCGGATTCCGATGGGGGTTTTGGTTCGGGGTGGGGGTCGGGGGTCGGGGTAGCAAGAACGGGGAAAGGAAAAAGGGGGTTTGTGTAGGGGTGGGGGAAAGGGAGGTGGGTTCGCGCCGACGCCAGCAGGGGAGGGGTGGCAGTTGAGGGGTGGGGTGGGGTGGTGGAGAGGGGGCAGTAAGGTGGAGGGGTGGCAGCAAGGTGGCTAAACCCAACCTAACGGAAATAGTAACGGCGTAAGTCAGTTGGTAGTGAAATAAATATTTTAGAGATTTGGGTGGTAGCAAAATAAATTAAACGAGTAGCAAATGTAACATGAGTTATTTTCGTTGTTAGCAAATGTCAATTTTTTCTTATTTAAATTGAAACAATGAAAATTGAGTTTATTTTTCTAAGAAGATTTTTGTCAACAAAATTATGCTTATACACCCTCTGTCCCTAAATTTTTGTCCCAATGCAAAAAATTGAGTCAACTTTTATAAACTTTGACCATAAAATACTCTTAATCTGTAACTGATAATATAGTCATGTGAGATCTTGATTGATGCGCCTCATTGTACATTTTATTGATATTTAATTTTTATAATTTTTACACGTGTGAAAATGGAGATATGACCTTTTTAAACGTTTGTTGGCGACTGCAAAAAGTCAAACGGGGCAAAAAATTAGAGACGGAGGTAGTAGGCTGTTAAATTGTGCCTTGAATAAGATTATATGTCATATGAATATGTCTATCTTGGGCACTGTGTTTTACTTGGGCACCAATTTTGGTAATACTTGGGCACCAAGTTTGGTAAAGTTTACCTTAGGCTCTAAGGTTAGGAGGTCTATAAATACCCCTTAGGATTAGTCATATTCATCATTGAATTTCATGAGTAATATTTCATAAGATGATACTCATGGGGGATAATCATGAGATATTGAATGGAGATATCAATATCACTTTGTAGTATATAAACTGTTATTTGGAAAATTCCTCACGGTCAATAAAACGTTTTTCTCTCGTCTGTCCTTGGAGGTAGCCAATTGATAATTGATGAACTACGTAAATATGTGTGTTCTTGTTAATACATTTTTATTTTGTTTCTCCCTCACATCCGTTATAACATAGGTTTTTTTTGATAAATTTCCCAAAAAAATAAAAAATAAAAATCAATAATTAATTCAATATAAGGTAATTTTTTTATAATGGCAATATAAGCTAAATTACATAAACCTAAAACTGTACATGTATATAAAAAAAAAATTCCTATCAAAACCATTACTCAGGAACATAATTCCAAAGAACCATAACTCATACATTCTCTATTCTTTTTTTTTTTTTTTTTTTTTTTTTTTTTTTTTAACTTAAAACTTTAATTATCAATAATTTTAATTACTCCGTATTATATATTACATAATAATATTTATTGAGACGATTCTAACAAGATCGAATTTTTTTTCTCTATTTTTAACTAGGTTAGAACCCGTGCGATGCACGGATTATGTAAAATTTATTTTTATAATTTGTACATTTTTTTAAAAAATAATGGATAAATATAAATAAGAATATGCACCTTGTACAAAATATCTGTATTTTGAAAATTTTAGATTTTTATCAAAATTATGATATAATACATGTTCAAATTTGCCTAATACATCTTTTAATGTAGGACTATTTATTAGTGTACAACTTAAAATTATTTCATTTTTTAAGGATACATTGATAGGTTGTATTTGTAATATAGAAGCTTCTGTTTTTCAAATTTCAAAATCTATTAAATATGATAGCTTAAAAAAAAAAAGAAGAAGAAGAAGAAGAAGATGACATCATCGTGCATTTAGGCGGGAAAATTTTTATTATGAGAGTGACATAGGACAATGATGACATTAACAAAGTTTTGTTTTAGTAATAGCTAATAGATAGATTCACAAAAGACGCTAAAAGAGATGATAAATAGTGTATACTTCATAACGAAAAAAAAAATAAAAAAAAATGGAGGAAGTATATATATATATATATATATATATATATATATATATATATATATATATATATATATATATATATATATATATATATATATATATATATATATATATATATGTTTGGGCATAGTCCATTGTTCTAAGCCCAGTGACCTGGAATTACGAAAATACCCCTCCATGATCCAGCCCATCATTAGTCAGAGCAAAGTACGGATTTACCCCTAATATGTCCAATTAAGTACAACTTTTGCCACCTGAAAGTACATCTATAAATAGCTCTCCAATCATTGATGATGGTAACTTTTTCCTAATTCTCTAATCTTCTCTCTCTACTTTCTCTCACTAGAAAGTACGTTCGCTGACTTAAGCATCGGAGGGGCTTTCCCGGGTCACACCCCCGGGGTAGTTAACCTTCTTTCTCTTTTGCAGGCCTAGCTCTCGGACAGCAAGGCACAGCTGAGGAAAATTCGGACATACATTGGACATAGTTTTAGGACATCTTGATTACCCTTATTAACCTAAAACTTCCAGGAACATTCTGTTTCCAGAAACAATATATATACCGGCACTGCTCTAACCAAATCCGATTTTAGACCGCCCTAGTTCCAAAATAACCCAAAGTCGAAAGTCGAGAGACTCGAAACACTGAACATCCAGAAAGAGGAAGAGAAGAGACTGTGTTTGTGTGGATAAGAGGCAAAGAAGAAAAAAAAAACAGAGGAACAACAACAATGGCAGGTTTAGCTACTACTGCAGGCAATATCTTAGCTCCGCCATTGTTAACCCGCCTCAAGCTCAAACCTCCTTCTACTCCACTTCTTTCTCTCTCCTCTTTTCAATCCAATCTCTTTGGCCTTCGTCTTTGTATTTCTACCTTTCATTTTCAATCCTTTCCTCTTTCTCTCTCCTCTTCTCACCGTCTTTCTGTTTCTGCTCGATATTCTGGGAAGAACAACGATGATGATCAAGCTCTTGATATTTCTACCGTTAGGTTTTGCTCTTATTATTGAATTATTGAATTTGGTTGAGCTTTTTTTTGTATGATTTTAGCTGAATTGTTTGTGTTTTTTTTTTGAATTAGGTCGGATAAAGTTAGGTTAATTGATGAGCAGCAAAATATGGTTAGTATTTCGGATTTAATTGTGATAATTGTTTGTTTTATTTATTATTTTTGGTGATTTATTTACTAAATTGAATTGAATTAGATTGGAGTTGTATCAAAAGGCGAAGCAATTCGAAGAGCTGAGGATTCACAGCTTGATTTGGTATGTTTTTTAATTGGTGAATTGCCAATTTCTACTGTTTAATTGTTGATTTTGAGATAAATAGTGTTGTATATGTTGATTCAGCTAATTTATTACAATGTTGGGCTTAAATTATGCTTGTTACTTTAAATGAAGATTCTTGGTTTAGGAGTATGTGTGGGTGAAATGCAAGAAAAAATGCATGAAAGTTGACTAAGGGGTGATCTTCCCTTGTTGCTATATACAAAGTACGAAGTATATGTTATTGTTAAAGCATTAGAGAGTAATATAGTCGAGTTGTATTGAATGTGTACATTGAAAGAAATACATATTACAAGAGGAAGGCAGCTAAACTAAGCCTTAGTCGCCTAGGAAACAACGATTGCACGCCTAAACCAAGTACAGTAGTTTACTATGCTAAGGGAACTTAACAGACACATCATGTTTTGTATTTATATTAGACTTTCTAATACCTTTGTACTACACTTGTTTGAACTCGTATACCCTTTTTCCAAAAGTGGCTCTCAATGTTGATTTAAGAAGTGTAGGCGTGTAGCTAGTGAGTGTGGAGTAGGATTTAACCATAGTTTATGGTATAGAAAAAACTATATAATATGATTGGTTGATTACAGCAACTCCCCTGTTCCCTCTTCCAGAATTTCAAGCCAACTTCTTTCTTCATTATTGTATAAGCCAACAGTTTAAATGAGTTTATGATTGTTCATCACCCTCCTAAAAAACTGTTATATAGATTTATAAGCTATATATGAACTTTTTCAGGATAATAAAAAAATAAATACACTCCTGGCAAGGCAATTAATGAATGTATGGAGTCTTTAAGTACAGGCATTTGTGTCTAATGTCTAATACAAGGTGCTGTAAGCTTTGTTACACAGGTCCTATAGTAGTGTACCAAAGCATGCCCTAGTCTTCTGAGACTAGGGTTTGCTCGGAAGGGAATAATATAAACACATCTTACTATTTATATTTTCTATTATCTTTTATTGTCCTCTCCAAGTTTCCGTTATTCATCAAAGGTGTCAAGCATGTGTTTAACATGGGTGGGCAAGGCCATTCGAATGATTTAGAGTATCAAAGAGGCATCCTGTTAATGGTTTGAACTTTGAAACTTTATCCCGGTAGCTATTACGGGTCAAATTTTGGACCTCACAGGAAAAGTGGGGAAGCCATAATGACAGATTTTAAGAAAAAGTGCTCTGTAAAAACTTTGTGGCCTATTACTGTTGGGACAAATTTGAAATTTCCCAATAGTTCTGGTCCATTTCTCGGAACTAGGCTTTTTAAGTTAACGGGACTTTGCTTGGAAGTATCATAACATTTCATAATCAATACAGGACACGGGTATCATTGCATCAGGGTTCTGTTAGTGAAGAATTGTCATGTTTCCCCTTGTGTGCAGGATCTGTGGCAATTGATGTCCTTCAATGAGATAAAGCTTAATGAATATGTTGTTGTATACGAGCATAATTTAGTCAACCTTAGAGATAAATGATTTATAAAGCTAAGCCGGGGCATTCACCTTTGAATTATACAACTATTCTGTGACCCAAATGATATTTTTGTAACATCAAATATAGATACACTGATGGATCAGTAGGATCACTAGATATTGATTTTTCTTTACACATTGAAGTTTTAGATTGTTGACCACATGTCCTTTATTAAGTTGATTGATATTGTTAAATTGGTGGCTGAATGTGCTAGGAAGAGAATAGGGATACTAACGTCTATTTCTTTACAGTGTATGCTTATGTTGAAGGATGTTTTATGATTAATCAACATGTTGGGACTGTAGGATTGATGTCTACCAGAAAAAGAAATAGGGAGGGGGAGTGAGATGCTGCCACTCCTTTGCGTTTGGGATGCAACCCTCCTTTTAGTTTCTTACCCATTTGCTTATGGGTATATGAATTATGATGACTGGATCTTAAAGTCATGTATTCTTGGTTTGAGATGTTGGAAAGATGAAGAGCACAAGTGCTTAGTATAACAATCTATTGGGCTAAAGTTTAAAAGTATTCTATCTACAATCATATCAAATTGAATATGTGAAATATTACTCTGGTAGTCTGGTCTATGTTTTTCCAACTGGATCATACATGTAATTTAATTGAATTTTGCCGTGTTCAAAATGGTGTGGTGTTAAAGTTCTACTACATAATCTTATTTTTAGACTCACTTGTGTTCAGCCTCTCAGACTTATTGGGACTTCATAGTGACTTATCTTTTTTCAGTTGAACTGTGTTAATTCTGCAGGTTCAGCCCAATGGCCTTGTTAGTTTTTGAAATTTAGTGATACATTGATTTTGTGGTTATTAATGATTTTTTTTTTTTTTTTTTTATATAGGTGGTTCTCTCACCCGATGCAGATCCTCCAGTTGTCAGAATAATGAACTATGAGTACGTTTTCTTTTCCTTCCTGGTTCCGTTGATACCTCCTGAAAAATGAGATTTCAGTAATTTCATTGTTCCTTGTAGATTTACTGGAATCATATCATCCCTTCTTTTAATGATTTTACAGATATAGTTTAAGGGGTTGTGGAGACTCGCTCTGTGGTTTGCAATTTCATAGATTAGGCTATTAGCAAGGATTTATATTTGATTTTGTTGTGCTATCTTCTGTGTATATTAGATACTACCTTCTTTCACTTATTTTCTTATTACTTGTCATTTTCATTTTTTTCAGTAAATATAGATATGAACAGCAGAAGAAGAAAAGGGAACAACAGAAGAAAAGTGCTGGTGAATTACTTCTATCTAGCATTTCCAGTAGTCTTACTCGTGCATTTAGTGAAGTAAAAGAAACTAACCCAATTTTCTTTGAATTTTAGCTAGTCGTATGGACTTAAAAGAACTCAAGATGGGGTAAGAACAACCTATCTTCCGCAATTTCTCTTCCGATGTTCTTTTCTCAAAAGAGCTGGAAATGTTGTGAGTCGTGAAAAAGCTTCCTTACCTAACTGGTTTTATTCTGTACTTCTTGTAGGTACAACATCGATGTCCATGATTATTCTGTGCGCCTTAGAGCTGCACAAAAGTTCTTAAAAGATGGTGACAAGGTTAATTTGCATTCCTCCTATGGACTACCATGTGTGCTCCGTTATTCAGCTTTGTGATTTTCACTCACTACATTGAGCATGTTGGTTCTTGTTTACAGGTAAAGGTTATGGTAACTATGAAAGGACGTGAAAAAGCCTTTCTAGATAAGGCGATTCAGCTCATCAGAAAGTTCCAAAGTGACCTTGGTGAGGTAATCACTCTAATTCATGCCAACTGGATGATATGACTTTATCTGGTTTTTAAGCTCATAGTTTTAGGCTTCTTTCTTTTCATTTCAAATTTATTTATCTAAACTTATTAAAACTTATCTAGCCTTATTTTTATAGTAAACTGTAACCTTGATTTGGACTTATTTGAATTTAGTTGAACTTGTATTTCTTGAAACTTCATTCCTAATTTTCTTTGTTGAGTTACATGCATTCTGATTCCATTGAGCTCCAGACAGTGTTGCATTTTCAGCAATTTATTGTTTGATTGTTGATTGATACGATTTGCAGCTTGCAACTGAGGAGCACAACAATTTTGCTCGTCGCAGGAAAGAAGATTTCACCGAGAGATTTATATTTTTGATTCTTGTACCAAATAAAAATGTCGTGCAAAAGGCCCCAGAAGGGCCAAAGAAGAAGCGTGATTCAGCTCCTAATGAAGTCTCAGTTGCCTCTAATGAAGTCTCGGCTGCTCCTAGTGAAGTCTCTGTTGCTTCTAATGAAGTCTCGGCTGGTGTTTAGTGCTACAAAAGTGGTTCAAGCTCTACTGAGAAAATAGGTGGCTGATAGTCTTCATGATGTACAAGGTTTGATAGCAAATTACAGCTTCTGTATAGCATTAATGGAATAGAGTTTGTACGGCTTACACAGTTTGCTCAAGATTGTATAAATATCTTTCGAGTTGCTGTGCTAGAATCAGTATTATATCGTTCTTGAAATTATATGAAAAACATTTTTCTTAACAACGATAGGCCACCAATTACATCAACATCAATTGCTTAGAGCATGGTGAGATTTTTGTTGTAAATTCTACCTCAATTATACGAGAAGAATTTTGATGGATTAGAATTTAAGCAATCTACTATATCTCGTACATGTAAAAGTAAAACTTTCCTATCAACTCAATTACTTGTTGAAGGGCAGTGTAGTACATTTATTGAGTGAATTGTTGTATGACTTATTGAGCTTTACTTGGTTCATTTGCACACTTCTATTGACTCTATGTGTCAACTTTGAGAGTGAGAGACGCTCCATTATCTCATTTGTTTCATCTATGAAATGCAATATTAATGTAGATTTTGCAAAATGATTTAGGAAAAAAAAAAAAAAAAAACATTTTGGCCGTTTTGGGTTTGTATGAGACCTTTACACCTTAGTGATGACTTTTTGCACGTATTCTTTTGCAAATTGGTCGAAGCCGGTTGCACTTGAGAGCAAATGTATGGGCATATATGTAAATAATTCTAAGTTTTGTGTTGCATTGGTGTAAACACTTTCACTTTATGGATGTCAACTAGTTTAGTTGATTAAAGTCTTGAGAATGGTATCCAAAACTTGAGATCAAATCTCGTCTACATCACTGTCATTTGTAGAATTGTAGCTCATTTTACACCATAAAATAAACACTCCCAGCCTTCTACTAATTTGTCAATTGACACAATATAGATCATTTCTTGAATCCCATGCAAAAATCCCTAAAATACATTTTAAGAAGAGTAAAAGAAGGAAAAATAAAAGTATTCATACTCAAATAAGTCGTTGGTACAAAATAAATAAGAGTATAGAAATGCAAAGTTAGTTGAGTTGGACAGTTCAGAATATAACTAGCTAATAGGTAACTTTACTTCAAGGCAATGAGGAAAGGGGACTCCACAACAAACTATATACCAAATAATACACCACACCACACCACCATTAGGTGAGAGACTAAGCTTTATGTCCTACCTTTCTTTCTTCATAAATTAGAAAGCCTCCCCTCACCTCCCTCACCTCACTCTTACTTCTTCTCCCGTCTCTCTGCTCGCCGTCCTCCTCGCGATGGAAGCAAGCGCCGGTCTTGTTGCCGGTTCTCATAACCGGAATGAGCTTGTTGTTATTCAAGGCCATGAAGAGGTAATAACTACGTTTTTTGCATGCATTAAACATAAGACTTGTAGCTTGTTTAGATAATACCCTTAACTTCTAAATTATTTTTAGATTATTAATGTTCGGATTCATAATTTATAAACGTTTACATATAGATCGTCTAACACTCTAACATGCTTACTACTTATTCCATGCAAATTTTAATAACACTATAATATACAATTACTAGATGAAGCCCGTGTGATGCACGGTTTGTTAGTATTTTTTTTAAAAAATATTTTTCATATTTATGTGATTTTTGTTACTACATATTATATTAGCTTTAAAATATTAGATAAAATTTCTAATCTCAAAAGATAATATTTTAGATTTAATTAATTTAAACTTTAAAATTTCATTCGTCAATTTTACTAACGTGGCATTTGAATTATTTAATTGTAAAATAAATTAATAATCTCTTATTTTATTGGCTACAACTTAAATTCAAAATCCTACATGACGCGCTAAGAAAAATAAATCCTACGTGGCTCTCTAAAAATTCGGGGAAAAACTCCCCTTTAATATATATATATAAGATTTTGAATCTAATATATATATATATTAGATTTGTAAATTTTAACACTCATTATTATGCGAGTTTGGTCAATTAGGATTGTCAAGTTGAAACAAAGGGAATACATAAATAGGACACACGATGAGTGAATGGACTTAATGAGTTTCAGTTTATCTTAGCTATAGCGCGATCTTAATCTTTTATGTGTGCTATGTTGTGTATCTGCAGCACAAACCGTTGAAGGATCTGAGTGGACAAGTATGTGAGATATGTGGAGATGAGATCGGACTTACCGTTGATGGAGACTTGTTTGTTGCTTGCAATGAGTGTGGTTTCCCGGTGTGTCGCCCTTGCTATGAATATGAAAGAAGAGAGGGCAGCCAAAACTGTCCTCAGTGCAAAACCAGATACAAGAGGCTCAAAGGTACAGCAGTAGATATGACTTATTATAGCCCTCTAATACAAAACTTCAGATTTTGATTCATAGTTTCATTTTCAAATATAGCAGATAGGTAAAACTGCAGATAATGTTTTAAGACGTGTAATGCTTAATGTGTAAACAGGGAGCCCCAGGGTGGAGGGAGACGACGATGAAGAAGACATTGATGACATTGAGCATGAGTTCAACATAGATGATGAACATAACAAAAACAACCAGGTTGCTGAGGCATTGCTTCAAGGGAAAATGAGCTATGGACGAGGCCATGATGATGAAGAAAATGCTCATTTTCCCCCTGTTATAGCCGGTCTTCGTTCTCGACATGTGAGTTAAACATTACAACCTTTTATGTACAGTTTCTTTGGTACAATAGGCGATTGTCTAATCGCATCCTGATGCATATATGTAGGTGAGTGGAGAGTTTCCGATCTCTAGTCATGGTGCAGATCAGATGCCTTCTCTGCATAAGCGTGTGCATCCATATCCTTCGTCTGAACCAGGTTTGTTTTAAAACTAAGAGCTCACTTGTCAAAAGTTTAAATGACTGATAGAAGTCTACAATCTGACCAAAACACAGTAAACATACAATGCTTCTAGTCTCATGAAATCAATGGTCAGAATATTAAGAGTTAAAAACCGATATGCAGGAACAATAATATGAATACTGACAATAAATTCGAATAGCAACAGAGACAAGAAACTTGTACTTACTAAAAAAGCTTTTACCATTTGAGAAATAACAGACAAAACATTTATCAGTACAAGTTGATAAACTGGTATTTGAAGAATTGAAGATATCTAACTGTATTTTTGTAACTGTAACTGGATACAGGAAGCGCAAGATGGGAGGATAGAAAAGATGGAGGATGGAATGAATGGAAACTGCAGCAGGGGAATCTGGGGCCTGATCATGAAGATTATAATGACCTAGAAAATGCCATGTAAATACTGCTTCCGTTTTTACTTCCTTTTTCCTTCCTCATCAGAATAACTGCAAAAGAAAATGTTAGCTTGAGCTGAATGCTTACTGATATGAGAACTTATGCAGGATTGATGAAGCAAGGCAACCACTCTCCAGGAAAGTACCCATTGCATCCAGCAAGATCAATCCCTACCGCATGCTCATTGTTTTAAGGCTTTTTATTTTGGCCGTGTTCCTCCGCTATCGTATCCTTAACCCTGTCCATGATGCCATTGGGCTCTGGCTGACATCTGTGATCTGTGAGATATGGTTTGCCGTCTCATGGATCCTTGATCAGTTCCCCAAATGGTTCCCCATTGATCGAGAAACATACTTGGATCGCCTCTCTCTCAGGTAAAGCACTCTGCCAACAACATCAGCTAAAATTGTTAGATTTCACAGGCACATTTAGAAATTCAAAAAAGAAACATCAAATATAGTATGAAACATAAACACAAATAAGGCCGATTGAATATGTCATGACTCAAACATTTTGTGCAGATATGAGAAAGAAGGAGAACCAAATATGCTGGCACCCATTGATGTCTTTGTCAGTACAGTGGATCCGATGAAAGAGCCTCCTCTTGTTACGGCCAACACTGTGCTATCTATACTAGCAATGGATTATCCAGTTGAGAAGATTTCATGCTACATTTCTGATGACGGAGCTTCAATGCTTTCCTTTGAATCACTCTCAGAAACAGCAGAATTTGCTAGACAATGGGTTCCTTTCTGCAAGAAATTTTCCATAGAACCTAGAGCTCCAGAATTTTATTTTTCCCAGAAAATCGATTATCTCAAGGACAAGGTCCAACCAACATTTGTGAAGGAGAGGCGTTCTATGAAGGTATTTTTACAAAAACTTTATACAAGCATGTATTTCCTATGGACTATGTAGGAATACTAACTAAGCTGAATGTTTTGGTAATTATAATTCTCAGAGAGCCTATGAAGAATTTAAGGTTCGGATAAATGCGATGGTGGCAAAAGCTTCAAAAGTTCCTCCAGAAGGTTGGATCATGCAAGATGGAACACCATGGCCAGGAAATAATACAAAGGATCACCCAGGTATGATTCAAGTATTTCTCGGCCACAGTGGAGGACATGATACCGAAGGAAACGAACTTCCTCGTTTGGTTTATGTCTCTCGTGAGAAGAGGCCTGGATTCCAGCATCACAAGAAAGCTGGTGCAATGAATGCCCTGGTAAGTTTCAGAAGCAATTGGTGAAGTAATTTTGTCTGAGAAAGTTGTGAAAATGAAAAGTAAGAAACAGGATGAAGATCTGGTCATTTTAAGTTTGGATGCCTTTAAAAATTAAGACCAGGATGCAGGTCGTTTTATTCTTTGATTATAAATATCAATCATGATGAAGTTGGCAGACAAAAACTAACAAATTCAAACACACACACACACACATGAAAAAAGGTAGGACTGGCACTATAAATTTGACAACTTAATGGAGCATTAATGTACCTTCAAACTCGCAGGTGCGCGTCTCAGCAGTTCTAACAAACGCACCTTTCATGTTAAATTTGGATTGTGACCACTATCTAAACAACAGTAAGGCAGTTAGAGAAGCAATGTGTTTCCTGATGGATCCACAAATTGGGAAGAAAGTTTGCTTTGTCCAATTTCCTCAAAGGTTTGATGGAATAGACCAGCATGATCGATATGCCAACAGAAACACAGTGTTTTTTGATGTAAGCTCCTGATCAGAGACTGAAATTTTCAACACTAAAGAATTCATCAACATTACATATTTATATTCTTAAGGCTTTTTGTCCTTACTTTTCAGATTAACATGAAAGGGCTAGATGGAATTCAAGGTCCTGTATATGTGGGCACAGGATGTGTCTTCAAAAGGCAAGCCTTGTATGGGTATGAACCACCTAAGCGTACTAAGCGGCCAAAGATGGTAAGCTGTGACTGCTGCCCATGTTTTGGTCGCCGCAAGAGGAATCAAAAGTCTAAATATGGTGCCAAAGGAGATGCTAACGTAGACCTTCAAGGTTTAGTACATATTCTCCGTAGCCACTAGCTTATTAAATCTTAATAACTCATTTCACTTTCAACAGATCTAACAAATGTTTACCACTGTAGGTTATGAGGATGATCAAGAGCTCTTGATGTCCCAAATGAATTTTGAAAAGAAATTTGGACAGTCAGCAATTTTTGTGACTTCGACATTGATGGTTGATGGCGGTGTTCCTCCTTCATCAAGTCCTGCAGCACTGCTGAAGGAAGCCATTCATGTCATCAGCTGTGGCTATGAAGATAAAACAGAATGGGGTGTTGAGGTAATCTAACTGATTCATCAAAAACCTGACTAGTAGCTCTTTGCGTGGACCAATAAATCTCAGTCTTGAGCTTCTAATTATGCTATATAGCCACCACATTATTATAGGACTATTGACGTGACTTCAAAATACACAATCCACCACATAATTATACTGCAAACAATAGCAATCAGTGAAAACTTCAAATTTTTTAATTTCTTCCAATTTGAATGTACAGTTGGGTTGGATCTATGGATCAATTACCGAGGATATCCTAACAGGATTCAAGATGCACTGTCGTGGTTGGAGGTCTATATATTGCATGCCCAAGAGACCCGCATTTAAAGGGTCTGCTCCTATCAATCTCTCTGATCGACTGAACCAGGTGCTTCGTTGGGCCCTTGGTTCTGTTGAAATCTTCTTCAGTCGGCACAGCCCTTTATGGTATGGGCACAAAGGAGGCAAATTGAAGTTTCTTGAGCGTTTTGCATACATCAACACTACTATCTACCCATTCACCTCCTTACCACTGCTCGCCTATTGTATACTCCCAGCTGTCTGTCTACTCACTGGAAAATTCATTATGCCAACGGTAAGGACCACTTCTCTCTATACTAGAAGAGTTCAATATAAATACTAGATTGCCACATTCAAAGTAAATTTCCATTATCTTTCAGAATGCATGTAAAAAAAGATACAAGCAACTTGTCATGTAGTCCAGAATAAATGCTTTAGCACTCCACAAATGTCCACACAGAACTAATCCAAATAAGAAATCGTGTTGATGCAGATAAGCACTTTTGCAAGTCTTTTCTACCTTGGGCTCTTTCTATCAATCTTTGCCACTGGTATCCTTGAGCTCAAGTGGAGTGGAGTGAGCATCGAAGAATGGTGGAGAAATGAGCAGTTTTGGGTCATTGGTGGAGTATCAGCACATCTCTTCGCGGTGATACAGGGGCTTCTCAAGATTTTGGCAGGCATTGATACTAACTTTACTGTCACATCTAAGACAGTTGATGACGAGGATGAGTTTTCTGAGCTATATGCCTTTAAGTGGACAACCCTTCTTATTCCTCCAACCACAATCTTAGTCATCAACTTAGTAGGTGTGGTTGCTGGAGTCTCTGATGCCATAAATAATGGCTACGAATCATGGGGGCCTCTCTTTGGAAAGCTCTTCTTTTCCTTTTGGGTGATTGTGCATCTTTACCCGTTCCTGAAGGGTCTCATGGGCCGGCAGAACAGGACACCAACCATTGTTATTATTTGGTCAGTTCTATTGGCCTCTATATTCTCCTTACTCTGGGTGAGGATTGACCCATTTGTGATAAAAACAAAGGGTCCTGATACCAAGGCATGTGGACTCAATTGCTAAGGTTGTAGTTTCTGAAACAGCCATTGCCCCGGAAAAACAATGGTGATAGTGTATTAATTGGCTTATGTAGCACTAAAGATTTTTGTCAGGAAAAAGGATTGTAAGTTTTGCAATGATGTAAAAACTGTGTCACAGATTCACAGGCTCATCCAACATGATTGATAATTGATCAGCTTAGTGATTTGCACACCATGAAATCTTCAATAGCATATCTACTCATTCCATGATCAACATTACTCAAACCAAGAAACAGAAATAGCAAACTGAGGCCAAAAAAAGTAAAACACTAGCAGACCAAGTTATGAAGCAGAATTGTTTATTTCATTCCATAGATATAGAAATAATATAACTGACCAGGATGTGGAGGTAGAAGTCTAGGAGTCACTCTGACATGCAAACTGATGATGACCGCCATTCTGGATTTATTCTAATTGAGCTGTCAAGAAGGACAAGAAGTTAAATTGCTTAAATGAACCATTTTGGGGGGGTTCAAATCATCAGAAAGGAAAATAATATAAGAAAGTAATGGTGAAAACAGAATTACTGTCATATTATGTGAGCTACATGGTGTATATAATAAATAGAAAAAAAAAATACATCTTAAACTAAAACAAAGTGACTCAAACAGCTTATACAAAAACTAATATTAGCTACTGTTTAAACAAGCCACAATTGATTGCCAACTAAATCCTAAGAAGAATGCCAAAATCCATCGCATATCCAATCATACACAGCTAGGTTAAAGGAAAAAAATGCAATATCATGCCTAATAATTCATCTAGCTGCTATTGAAATGAAAATGGTTTCATAGTATCGTATAAAAACTGCGTTTTCTCTGGCATGAGGATAGAAGTATCTCACCTATAAAGAGTATGCCACATAGCTCAATTGCCACAATCCAAACAGCCGCATCAAATTTACCAATAGTCTCCACAAGAACAGACACCATCTTTAAAATGGTGGAACCTGTTAGCATCTCTAACTATAATAACTCTATCTGTGAGCTTGGAGATGAACTTAGTTGCAGTATGACAGTCTAAACAGACCCTGAGGTTCTTGAAGATCCTGATTTCAGTTCCTGGCTCAGTTGAGATAAGCCCAAAAGCTATAGCTAGCTTCTCACTATGAACATTAACCATGAGCTCCTTCTCTTCCTCCTCAACATCATGCAACGCTGTTAAAGTCTCATGCTGATACCCAGCCTCCTTCATTCTTGCCATTAACTCTTCCAACTTCGCATATATTGCAGTTGTTTGTGGGTGGGAGCGATCACCACATGTGAAGACATGAGGAGTGTCACCTAGCTCTATTAAGGTGCACCCAGGTGTCTTTGCCAGCCTTCTTTTCTTGGCTACTTGTCGAACAGAAGCAGCGTGACAATAGTTGCGATCAGCTGAATATATGTTGGAAAGTAATACATAATACCCCACATTTTCAGGATCTAACTTGAGCAAATTGTCAGAAGCAATGCGTGCCATGTCTGTATTCTTGTGAGTCATGCACGCACCTAGTAATGCTCCCCACTCAACAGAACTAGGTTTAATAGGCATACTCTCGATAAAGTTTAAAGCCTTGTCTAATTGTCCTCCTCTGCCAAAAAGATCAACCATGCAGGCATAATGCTCAGCTACTGGTTTACAATGATGATCATGAACCATAGAATGAAAAATTGTATTTCCTTCACTAATTAGTCCAGCATGACTACAAGCATACAAAACACAAAGGAAAGTTACTCCACTGGGAGGAATTTCTGACTCCAACATTTCATAAAAGAGACTCACTGCTTCATGTCCAAGTCCATGAAGGCCATAGCCAGAAATCATTGCATTCCAAGACACCACATTTTTCTCAGGCAAGGCATCAAATAATTCCCGAGCTGTGGTTAAGCTTCCACACTTAGCATACATATCAATCAAAGCAGTTGATATGTATACATTTGATTCTAACTTTTCCTCATTAATCAGTTCATGAACCCACTTTCCTAAACTAACTGCTCCCAACTGCGCACATGCTGATAGGATACTAGTGACTGTAACAGGATTTGGACGAACATTACACTTTTGCATTTGCTGAAATAATGATATTGCCATTTCAGTCAAGCCATTCTGGGTATAACCTGATATCATGGCGTTCCAAGCCGCCAAACTTTTCTTAGGGGTCTCATCAAATAATTGTCTAGCCCTATCAATTTCATTTAGCCTACTATATACTGTAGTTATTGCAGTTGACACAGACGAATTTCCTGTCATCCCAGTTTTGATACAGAAACAATGAATGGACGTAGTCAAACTTAGATGGCCAAAAGGATACCCAACTGGTATAAGTCCTACAATTGTGCTAGTGTTCACCTTTGCTCCAGAAATCAGCAGTTCTTTAAAAAGACTTACTGCAGAATCCGTTTCGCCATTACATGTATACCCGGAAATCAATGCATTATAGCATACCAAATCTGGTTTCCTCATCTCACTAAACAGCAATCTGGCAGTACACACATCCCCACATTTTGAATACATAGAAACAAGCCCAGTAATAACATAACCATGAGAATTCAAACCAGCTTTGAAAGCTAAACACTGAATTCCCTTTCCTGCATTCAAATCATGCAACTCTGCAACAGCAGGAAGAATGACAGACAAAGTAGAAGAATCAAATCGAGCACTACTACCAACCATATCACGAAAAACCCGAAGCGAATCAATATAACAACAATTCTTAACCAACCCAGAAATCATAGTATTCCACAAAACCGTATCTCTCTTAGACATTTTATCAAACATCTTATATGCATACCCAATCTTGGAAAAATTAAGATACATTCTCAAAACAGCCGATCCAACAAACAAATCAGCACCAAACCCATCAATAATCGAGTGAGTATGAAGCAACATACCAACCCTTTGATCCCCAAGTGACCCAGAAGCCGAAACAGCGAAAGCGTAGGTGAAATTATCAGGCCTAAGAATCGAGTTTCGACGCAACTGGGTATAAACAGAAACAGAAGAAGATGGCAAATGATTGAGAGAAAACCCACGAATGAGGACATTGTAGAGGAAAAGATCTGGGGTTGGAGATGAAGAAACAAGAAGATTAGCATGGTGAATGTATCCAATGTCGCAGAGTTTTTGAGTGAGCTTAGTGATTGTAATAACGTCGGAATTGAAAGCGTTGAGAATGATTTGAGCATGGATTTGTTTGAGTTTTGTGAAAGTTGTTGATTTTGAGATGAGGTTGAGGAAGAAGTTTCTCTCTGGTATTGTTGTTGCAGAGACTACGGCTCTATTCAACATTTGAGAGTTTTTGAAGGGATCTTATTTTAAGGATTTTGCTCATATAGTACGAAGTAAGCAATTACATGGCGGGAAATTTCGCAATACATAGCGGCTAAAAACTAACTCGATTTATAAACAATTAAGCCAAACTTGTAAATTACAATGGTTTGGAAATCACTTATGGCTCGAAATTGATATGGTATGAATTGAAAATTTGTGAGTCAAATCCGATCTTTCATGTCCAATTTTACATATTTTCACAAAGTTATGGATTTATCGTAAAGTACGAAGTAAAAAAAATATTTTTGCCCTGCTTTGTATTTGTTGCACATTACCCGTAATTGATAGCTTATTTTATTAGCTAATGCATTGATTATTATTTTTGTGTGAAAGTTTTGGAAAACTAGTTATGGGATTTTAAGGGTGGTTTTTTTAAAAAAAAAATGCAAAGGAATTACATATTTACATAGCTTGTTATTGTTTAAATGTGAATAAAATCTAGTGTTATAATAGAATATAAAAAAAAACCCTAGCCTCTCTCTCCTCTCTCTAAAACCCTAGTTGAATTTTGGAGTGGCTCCCATCGGTTTTTACCGGTGAAAAGCCTTAATTGTGTGTTTTTTCTCTTGTGTTTAGATTTATAATAACTCTTCCTAGGGGGAACATTTCTCCCAGGGCCGTCTCTGGCAATTCGGTGACCCTGTTCTAGCTAAAATATTGGGCCCTTAAATTTTTTAAAGAACTATTTTTAAAACGTTAAAAATATTATTATTTTAAAATGAATTTATTTAGTAGTTAAGCACACAATTAGGTACTCAATTGTTAAAAATTTCACCTTTTAGGTACTCAATTATTTTTACTTGTGAAAGAAACCCATCCTTGTGAAAGAAACCCCTCTCCACATTGAAGCTTCGACTGAAGAACAAGATCAGGATGAGCGATGCCCTGTGATACAGCTATCAAAGGAGGAAAAAATGCGATTGAGAAAACCATGGAGGTCTTCCTTAATTGTCAAAATGTTCAGTGGTAAGATGAGATATATGGGACTAATGCGCTGATTGAAGAAGAAGTGGAACATAAGAGGGGAGTTAGCTCTCACTGACATCGGATGCAACTACTATATTGCTCGATTCACTAATCAGGCCGATTATGATTATAACTATGTCCTCACGCAAGGGCCATGGTTAATTGATGATAATTACCTAACGATTAGAAAGTGGGTACCAAATTTTGTGCCTGATGAAGCTCCAATTAAGGTGCTAACTGCTTGGGTACGCATTCCGAACTTACCAGTGGAGTACTTTGATGTCAATTTATTGAACAAAATTGGGTCAAAAATTGGTAAGGTGTTACGAGTGGACAAAACCACTGCTCAAGCTGAGCGTGGACAGTTTACTCGCCTGAGTGTTGAAATAGATCTGTCTAAACCTCTGTTATCGAAGTTCTGGCTAAAGGGAAGGATTTGGAGAATTCAGTATGAAGGAATTAAGATGATGTGCTTCAAATGTGGAAAATTGGGGCATGTTGAAGATGACTGCGGCCCTGAACCTGTGAACGTAGAAGATCACAGTATGAATATTCATAACAACCCTCTGCATAAACAGAGTCATAGGTCGGAAGAAAAGGAGAACTTTGGTTCGTGGATGCTAGTTAAGAAGCCAGGGAGAAAAAAGATAACAAAGACAGACAAACCTGCAACAGAAGCCCCGGCAGCCAAATCTGGTGGCAAATCAAGAAGCTAAAACCTGGATTCAATGCTACCCCCAACATGGAATCCTCCCGAGTTGGTTGCGACACTCAAAATTCCCAATGAATTTCAACGTTTGTTGAGATTCATTTGTCAAGCCTATGTTGATTCGTTAAGGGGTATATGGCCATCAAAATTGATTTCGAGAAGGCTTACGACCGCCTTCGCTGGTCCTTTATTAGAGATACTCTAGTGCAAATGAATTTGCCAATTTTGATGGTGGATTTAATTATGGATTGTGTGACTAACGCATCTCTTCAGATTCTTTGGAATGGGGAACCATCTCGCCCTTTCAAGCCGAGCAGAGGTATTCGACAAGGGGATCCACTCTCTCCCTACTTATTTGTCATGTGTATGGAAAGATTTTACCAAGTCATTGAGCAAGCCATCATCAATGGATATTGGAAAACTATCCGCACTAGTCGCGATGGTCCCGAACTATCGAATTTATTCTTTGCTGATGATATTGTTCTGTTTGCAGAAGCCACCAGTGACCAAGCACACCTCATTCACACTTGTTTGCACAGATTCTATGAAGCATTAGGGCAAAAAGTTAGTCTTGCTAAATCCCGGGTTTTCTTCTCGAACAATGTCAGTGTGAGCACACAAGAGGAAATCAGTTCGGTCCTTGGGATGGAAGCAACAGCTGATCTTGGATTGTATTTAGGGATGCCTACATTGTCAAGTAGGGTCACTAAAGATACTTACAGCCATCTTTGTGAGAAAATTGATCGTCGACTCTCGGGTTGGAAGTCGAAGTATTTATCTCTGGCTGGGAGAATCACTTTGGCTAAATCAACTCTTTCTACAATATCTTTGTATTCTATGCAAACGGCTAAGATCCCTAAGTCGATTTGTGAGGACATTGATAAGAAAACAAGGCGATTTATTTGGGGTGGTAATGATGAAAAGAGAAGGATTCACCTGTTAGCTTGGGAAACCATCCAACGACCAAAGGAGATAGGAGGCGTAGGCATCAATTCGGCTAAACAAGCAAACGCAGCTTTTCTCACAAAATTGGGATGGCGCGTGTTAACAGAACCCCAAGCCCTTTGGTCGAGAGTATTACGTGCTAAATATTGCAAAGGACGATGCGACTTGGACATGTTTGTTCCAAAACATGGGATGTCAAATGTGTGGGCTGGAATCACTGAGAATGCTCCTTTATTAAATAAGGGTGTTCGCACTGCTATTGGTAATGGTATGAGTACTCTTTTCCGGCAGCATAAATGGGCAACTTCACAGCCCTTAAGTGATCTGATTACTCAGCCCATTCCTCAAGAGTTGGCAGCAGCAACTGTAGGAGATATGTGGGAGGAGGATCAAGGCTGGAGATGGAATATATTCGCCCCATATTTACCCCAAGACGTCCTCAAACTCATACAACATCATGTAGTACGAGTTGATCCCAGTGTGGGAGATTTGATGTATTGGCAAGAAGGCTCCAAGGGAAAATTTTCTATTAAATCTGCCATTAGCATTCTGAGAGATGACTCTGAGTTTATTGAAGAAGACTGTTGGGATTTAATTTGGAGCGCTCCAATTCAACAACGAATCAGAGCTTTCCTTTGGCTTGCTTGTCACGACAGAATTCTTGGCAATTTGAATCGTTTCAAGAGAAAACTTACTGACAATCCTCAATGTTATATTTGTGGAGAAGAAGAGGAAAGCACCATTCATATTTTGAGGGATTGCCCTGCTGCAAAACAAATCTGGCGAATAGTGTTAACTCCAACGCTGCTCCATAATTTTTTTCAGAGTAATCTGAAGGATTGGCTAACTCACAATTTGCGTGAGTCGGGTAATATTGATGATCAGGGGTGGCCTACGCTGTTTGGAGTTGTCACTTGGTGGGTGTGGCGATGGAGAAACTGCTATGTATTTAACAGAGCAAATGAAATTCCAGAGGATATCAGTGCGTTCATTCGCATCAGAGTAGATGAAACCTTTCGAAGCCTAGGAAAAAAGGACGAAAGGTTAGGTAGGACTATCAACAAGCAACAAGCTTATATTGCATGGAGTCCTCCCTCTCATGGTTGGTACACTCTTAACTGTGATGGGGCAGCGAAAGGTAGCCCTGGTCCAGCAGGTGGTGGAGCTCTTATTCGAGACCAGGAAGGTAATTTCATTTCTGGATTCTCAGCTGCTTATGGGCATTGCACAACATTCAGAGCTGAGATCCTAGCTCTAACTCGAGGTCTATAACTTGCTAAAAATTTGCAGATTAGTCAATTGGAGGTCCAGCTTGATAATCTGGCGTGTGTCCAAATAATGCAAAGTGGCTGTACTCAACATGGAGAGAGCGTACATGAGATTAACCGATGCTTACAAATGCTCGAGGATGAAGGATGGACCGTAAAAGTAATTCACATTTATCGGGAAGGAAATAGAGCGGCGGATTGGTTGGCCAACCGCGGAGTCACTTTAGACACTGATTTTGATCTTCTTAGTTTTATTCCGTCTAGTCTTAGTAGTATTTTAGAGGAGGATGTAAGAGGAGTGGCTCTTCCACGACTCATCCCTTCTTAGTTTTTTCTTGTTTTCTGTTTCTTTTATTTTTCTTTGTTTGCTTGTCTTTTCTTTCTTTGGCTTTGCCTCTTTGGAATAAAAAAAAAAATTATTTTTACTTTGCTTTTGGGTACTGAGTTAAGAAATTAGGCCAAAAAAATTAAATCAGCCAAAGAATTCAGAACCTTAGGTTAAAGAATTTAGTACCCTTGGTTAAGTATGTGGGCCCCACCCGATTAAAAAATTCACGGGTCAACCCATTTTTTTCCCTTTCTTTTTCTTTATTCCCCTTTTTGCTCCTTTATTCTTTCCCATTTCTGGAAACTTTGCTGCGAACGTCGAAGAACAACGAGCAATCTTTGTGCTCGAATCTGGGGAAAACGACACCAAAAGCCGCCATTTTTTTGAGGTAAGCTCAATTTCTCATCGTTTATGTTGTTAATTTGATATAAATTTTGGATTTTTTTCCCATTTGTTGATGTTTGTTGCGACCTAGGGTTTTCGAATTTTGGGGTTTTTTTGAACAAATTGATGATGTCGATTTGTTGTGGTTTTTGTGTTAAATTTGGGTTTTCGAATTTTGTTTTTTTTGGTTTTTTTTTTTTGACAAATGGTTTTGGATGAATTTGTTAAGCAACATTGGCTGATTTTGTGGCTGGACAAAAGAAGCAACAATCGCTGATTTTGTGGCAGAGTTGAACTACCAGCAGCAGGGGGAAGCAGCAGCCCTTCTGTTTCTGGTTTTTTTATTTTTATTTTTTTTCTACAAAATTTGGCAAAACCTTGCAGAATTTATGCCTAAATAACATGCTCAATGAACCTGTTTTGTTGCTGGTTAAGCTGCTGTTTTTGATGAATTTTGATGAATTTTCTTGCTGTTTTTGATGAATGAATTTTGATGAATTATTATTGATGAATTTTCTTGTTGTTTTTGATGAATTTTCTGCCAGGTTCATGCCTCTTTAAATAGAGAAAC